AGCCAAATTTGAAGCAAGCTTGATTCTTTTATTGGGGTACACCCAAGAGCTGGCCAGCGACTGCCTCCTAAGTCGAGTTAAAGAGAGCAGCCCCAAATACATCTCTTGGGCCCCTTTGAAGGACTAAAATCATGAGTTTTTTTACAGAGGGGAAATAATGGGACAATAAGGAAATACAAGAAAATCCTAAAAAAAAAATAGAAAAATAAAAATAACCTCATTAGGTCACCATCAAAAACAAATCAAGGTCATGGGGGGTTGGGGAAGGTCAGGTTCCAGGAAACAGAGAGCAACTCAACTCTCACAATAAATAGAAACTTATTTTTAAAAATACAGCATAATGGCCCCTGCCTTTAAAATGGAGTTGGGCAGCTTCCTCACTATGACAGTGAAAAGATATTATGGTATTTCAAATTCCATTTCTGTGCCTGATGAGCTCCCACCTAACCTTCAAGTGAATGTCATTCATCTGCATTAATGGCGTGCTTAAAGGGCAAGCATCCACAGAAGAACTTTACAGGGCTACATAAATGCAGTCCCAGCAAGGACTTTAACATACCCCAGTTAAACTGTGTGCTTGTGGATCAGTATTTGACAGTTCCTCCCTGAAAAGCTTCTCAAAGATGAAATATGTAAAAACCTGTTTATAATTAGCATTAATCGGCGAACCGCTCTTTACATTCGATTCTAGTAATAAAGAGTGCTAAGTTTAGCATGGCCGTGGTGGTTCACACCTGCAATCCCAGCACGAGGTAGGCTGCACAAGGATGCCATGAATACCAAGCCAGCCTGGGCTAGTCAAAACCTGTCTCAAAGCAAATAGGAAAGGGGGGAGGGGCTGGTGTGGGGTAGAGAAAGAACGTTGAGAATTCACTAACTGGATTCTAACTAAACAAGAATTCCTTCGTAGCCAAGGCTGGCCTGGAGTGCAAGTTAAGAGGCTGAAGCAGAATGGCAAGTTCAAGGCCTGTCTAGTACCTTGGAGAGACCTGTCTCACAAGAGGAAAAAAAAAAGTAAAGGAAGGAAAAAAGAAAGAAAGAAGCATGAGGCTGGAAAGATGGCTCAGTGGCTAAGAGTGTTTTTGTCTGGGCATTGGTGGTGCACGCTTTTAGTTCTAGCACTCAGGAGGCAGAGGCGGGCAAATCTCTGTGAATTCAAGCCTTGAGCTGGCCTACGGAGCGAGTTCCAGGACAGTCAAGGCTACACAGAGAGACCCTGTCTCAAATAAACAAAACAAACAAAAAGTGGTTTTTGTTCTTGTGGGGATCCATAACCCCCGTTTTGGAGGATAAGACATCTTCTGATATCAGCAGGCACCAGGCACATTGTGCACACGCATACAGGCAGGCAAAAGATTCATACAAATAAAATAAATCTTTAAAAAATTAATTAAAAAAAAAAAAGGACCGGGGATATAATTCAGTAGAGAAGAGCTTGCCTAGGCCTGGACTTAAATCTCAATAGCTCACGCACGAACACACGTGTACACAAACACACAAATGAATTCCGTTCAGTCGACCCGAGGTTAGAGTTTTCGTATATTTTAGTTTTCAATCTACGTAAAGGTGGCAGGAGGGGGGGCTGGTGAGGGAATGGCTCCAGGATGAGGTGAATTACGTCTGAGTTGTTGTCTTGGGAGTAATGACATCTGCAAGGTTTCTGATTGACAAGGGCTGTCCGTCCGCCAGGTCCTGGGCTCACCCATTTGGGGCACTCAGAACAGAAACTCCTCTGGAAGACTGAGGGAGAAGACACCGGTGTCCGAGGTCTACAGACCCCTTAGGGAAAGGCAGACTTGTCTAGCTGAGCCCTCAGAAGCTGGGACAACGTGGGAAGAGCATGGCCAGACATCCTGGCGCATATGCGCTCAAGATCCGAAACCAGAAGCGCGGTAACCTTTGCATCCGGGCAGTGGAAAGGCCAGGAGCCGTTAGAGCTGGTCCAGCCCCAGAGACCCAGTCACCGGGCGTCATTGGCTCCAACGTCAGGATCGTCAGCATCGTCAGCACCTTCTGCCTCCCGGGTCTAGGCAGGCGGTGGCGGTGGCATCACAGGGCTGAGCCGCCCCAGGGCCCTTTGTCTTTGGAGAGTGCCGAGCGCCCCGAGAGAGGATGGAGCCGGTGGACTCCTATCGCACTGTTCTGGGTGGCCCGCCGAGCCCCTCTCCAAGACATCCCTACCCCGGTGTCACCCTGGGGACTTGGGTCTTTCACACGTAAAGTCTTCCCTATCCCATTATTAGAAACTTTTTTTCCATATTTTCTGGGTAATGTTCCTAGAAGGGACCTGGAATCGCTCCCCAGTCTCTCCACCACGGCTGACTGACTCTGTGCTTTCTGTCTCTGTATCTGCCTTAAGTGACCGTGGTTGGTTTAACCTTTATTAAACAGATCTTTTGTTTGTGTTTGTTTGTTTGTTTGGGGTGCTGGGGATTGAACCCAGAGCTTCCAGCATGCAAGGCAGCCAGCTGCTCTACCACTAAGAGCTGTATCTCAGCTTTTTTTTTTTTTCCCACATTATATTTTAAATTTTGAAGTAGGATTTAAGTTGCTCAGGTTGGTCTTGAATTTGCAGTCTTCTTGCAACTTCTCTGAGTGCTGGAATTAACCGGACTGCGCCACCACGTGGCTCAGATCAACCCTAGTGAAGCACCTCCCTAACTACCTAACCAGTATCGCTACCATGCTGTGCAACATTTCTGTATCAGATGACAGTTAATGATACACTTGAAGCTAGCTGGACCTGCATGAGGTCCTGCCTCAGAAAACAAAAATAATAAAAATAAATAAATAATATCTGTATACACCGTGTAAAAAACTGATGCTGCTCTCCTCATGTTTTTTTTTTTTGCTGAAATACATTATATTGTGTGTTTGAGATAAGTCTAATATAAATCATAATAAAACTAGAGGTATAATAAATCCTTCCATCACTGGTAATTACATGTAGAACTGGAGCATTTGCTAGACCAAGTTAGTGGTTCACTGGTACATTGCCTCATTGAATTATAATTTATGTCAATGTCTTGCTGTTAGATACACAGCGTATCTGGCATTTCTCTATTACTTTAGCCAGCATGAGATTCTGCCTCAAATAAATAAATAAAAATTTAAAACAAATAAAAAATATAAACACAGAAACTAAAACCCTTTTGTGTATTCATTTGTCAAGTGTTTATTACCAGCCACTGGGCATTGAAACAGAACAGTGGCTGGGTGGTGGTGGCGCATACCTTTAATCCCAGCTCTTGAAAGGCAGAGGCAGATGGATCTGGATCTCTATGAGTTCGAGGCCAGCCTGGTCTACAGAGCTGGTCTCAGGATAGCCAGGGCTACACAAAGAAACCCTGTCACTAAAAACCAAAACCAAAACCAAAAAGAAGGAGGAGGAGGAGGAGGGAGGAGGAGGAGGAGAAAGGAGGAGGAGGAGGAAGGAGGAGGAGGAGGAGAAGAAGAGGAAGAGGAAGAAGAAGAAGAAGAAGAAGAAGAAGAAGAAGAAGAAGAAGAAGAAGAAGAAGAAGAAGAAGAAGAAGAAGGGATAAAACAAAAGAAAGAAAATAGAACAGTGAATAAGCAGACATAGTTCCTGCCGCCATCATGAAACTTAACATCACACATCGGTGAGATAGGAAGATGAGTCACTAGATAGTTAGAGTGAGGGGGGGTGGGAAAGTGCTTCCTGAACAAGGAAAATGTAAAGGAGGTGTCTCACCAGGTCTATGATGTCAAAATCTTTTCAGATTTACTCTCTTACAGGAACAGTATGGAAATACTTGGGCTGATGAGATGGCTCCAAGAATAAAGTGCTTGCCCTGACTTCAATCCCTGGAACCCATGTAAATGTGTAAGGAGAGCACCGACTCCAGTATACCATGGCATGTACGCACACACGCGTGCACACACACATACACACACACACTAATAAATAAAATTTTTAACATAAAAATACCATAATTTTTTTTTCAAATTAAATG